TCGTTTCTTACCGGTACCCATCTACCTCATTTTGGAAACTGAATTGAAATAGTTTCCTACTTCCTGTTAGACCTTATGGTTCTAATTGTAAAAGAAAAAAATGGTAAAGTCTGATCAAGCCTATCTTGGTTAATATTTTGAATATAAAACCTTCTGGCTAAAGAGACAAATATTTTGGTAGAAAAGAACAACTGGGACAGATATAATAAAGGAAAAATAATTACTTAATTGACACTAATTCATGTAATGGTAAAAAATATCAAAAACAATACAAAACTTGAGTCCTTTAATACAATAAAGAAAACTAACATGAAATAACAAAGTTGGATTTGATGTAGAAATTATAGAATCTTTGGTTGAAGAGAATCTACCTATTGTAATTTAGTATTTGTGTTATTGTGTTAACCCAATACATTGCATTGTGTTCTAGAGTTCTATCATCAGTCAATTTTCCATCTTTCTATACATACTTTTTTCTGGTCACTCTTATCCATCATCATGATTTTAACTACCACTGTTTGCTGAATGGTATTTCTTCTGATTTCTATGCCTTATTCCCAACTATTGGGTATCCTACAAGTAAGTGAAAGTAAAAATATTCAAAACTGATAGCATTGACTTTATATCAAGGCTGTCTTTTTCCATTTAATTTTGTAAATTGATGAATGAGTAATTTTTCCCATTACTCAAGGAAAATATGTGGGAATCATCATAAATACCTTTTTATCTCACAAAGTATCAGCATCTGCCCTGCTCCAGGCACAGACTTCTATACTTGTGCTTTCCTAAAGCACTTGGCCTTAATCAATACACACAAATCAGAGGCATTCATATATGCCAATAACAGTCAAGCCAAAATTCAAATAAAAAATGCACTTTTGCAATAGCTGCAAAAAAAATTAAATATCTAGGAATATATTTAACAAAAGAGGTGAGGACATATACAGGGAGAACTATGAAACATTAAGAAAAGAAATTGCAGAAGATGTAAACATATGGAAAAATCTACCTTGCTCATGAATTCATAGAATCAACATTGTTAAAATGTCCATACTACCTAAAGTGATCTACAGAATTAATGCAATCCCTATCAAAGTACCATCATCATTCTTTACAGATCTAGAAACAATAATTCTACACTTTGTATGGAACCAGAGAAGAACTCATATAGCCAAAGCAATCTTAAACAAAAAGAACAAACTGGGAGGTATCAGTCTACCAGACTTCAAGATGTACTACAAGGCTATAGTAACTAAAACAGCATAGAATTGGCACAGAACAGAGATATAGACCTTTGAAACACGACTGAGAACACAGAGATGAATCCATCTGCATATTGTCATCTAATCTTTGACAAAGCAGACAAAAATACACACAAGGGAAAAGAATCTCTTTCAATAAATGGTGCTGGGAAAACTGGATAGCTACATGCAGAAGATTGAAACTGGATCTTCACCTCTCACCTCTTACAAAAATCAATTCACGATGGATAACAGACATAAATCTAAGGCATGAAACTTAAGAATCCTAGAAAAAAATGTAGGGAAAACTTTTTCAGACACTGGCCTAGGCAAAGAATTTATGAAGAAGACCCCCAAAGCAATCACAGCAGCAACAAAAATAAGTAAATGGGACCTGATCAAATTAAAAAGCTTTTGCACAGCCACGGAAACTATCATTAGAGCGAACAGACAGTCTACAGAATGGGAGAAAATATCTGCTGTCTACACATCTGATAAAGGGCTGATAACAAGAATCTATCTAGAACTCAAAAAATCAACAAGAAAATACCAAACAATAGGCCGGGCATGGTGGCTCATGCCTGTAATCCTAGCACTCTGGGAGGCCAAGGCGGGAGGATCACTCGAGGTCAGGAGTTTGAAATCAGCCTGAGCAAGAGTGAGACCCTGTTTTTTATTAAAAATAGAAACAAATTAATTGTCCAACTAAAAATATATAGAAAAAAATTTAGCTGGGAGTGGTGGCACATGCCTGTAGTCCCAGCTACTCAGGAGCCTGAGGCAGGAGGATTGCTTGAGCCCAGGAAGTATGAGGTTGCTATGAACTAGGCTGACACTACGGCACTTTAGCCAGGGCAATAGAGTGAGACTCTGTCTCAAATATAATATATATATATATATATATAGTATATATATATATATATATTCTCAAACAACCCATCAATAAATGGGCAAAAGACATGAACAGAAACTTTTCAAAAGAAGACAGAATAATGGCCAGCAAACATATAAAAAAAATGCTCAACATTTCTAATCATTAGGGAAATGCAAATCAAAACCACAATGAGATATCACATAACCCCAGTGAGACTAGCCTTTATCAAAAATATCCCAAAGCAACAAATGCTGGCGAGGATGTGGAGAGATAGGAACACTCTTACACTGCTGGTGGGACTGCAAATTTGTGCAACCTCTTAATGAACTTAACCAATATTCTCTTAATGTCACGTATCTTCACGAATTTGCTCCTGCTGTTCTCTCTGTCAGGAAATCTGCTGCAGACCTTTTTTGGCTTTGAGATCATCGTCTCATACTCAAATGAAATACGTGTGTGTGTGTGTGTGTGTGTATAATACACACGTGTGTACATAATATACAAAACAGACTAGTATCTTCTATTGGTCTCTGTCTCTAGAGACCCCTGACGGATACAGCAGGTGTATCTTTGCCTTCTACCTCTCCAGCCCTCCTGTAAGCCAGTGGAAAACTGACATCCTAACTCCAGGGAGTTTGAAAGTGTTGAGTGGGATCCACTGCATTTGCTGTTCTTGATGCCACAAAAAATCATGTTGGTAGTCCAAGGATCAAAGAATGAAGAAAGATAGACTTCAAATGAAGAATTTCTTTCTGTTTTCATGTATGCTTCACTACAGATATTGCCTTCAAGTTCTCTTTCTGCTGAGATCCACATGGACTTTTGCCCTCTGAGTCAGCTAGTAGTGGGAAGATAAGAAAAATACTGCCCACCAGACCCAGGGAAACATTTTCTCTTCCCCAAACAGCTGTAGACACAGCAGGACTTGGATAATGAGGGCAGGAGATTACTTTAGTGTAATGGCTAACTTTTTTCTTTTTTCAGTATACTAAGTGCTTTTCTCTACTGAGAAAGCATTATGGATAATTTTCCCTAATCTACCAAGGGTTTTTATTTGCCTTGAGGAGTATTAGTACAGCAAAAGAAATATGAAGTCATTCTTTTGTTTCTGAAACTCAGAGTAAGATTTGAGTTACTAGCCAGGCAGACTTTGGTGAATTTGTGAAAGCCAAGTATGGATGATTAAATCAGTTTTACTGTAAATCATAGCTAGAGAGAGATTAGAGCACAATTTAAGAGGAGCCCTGTTCTGTCTGGACCTTGGTGGTTGTGGGAAAAGAGAAGAGACAAGTTAGAAAGCATTGAGTGAGACTTGTATATCCTGATGTCTTTTATCTGAATGGAAATTCTGGAGAAGGCAGGAATGCTTAATAAATTGATATAGAGATAGGTGAGTTAAAGACTATACTCCTGACTCCCCAGTACCTAAGTTTGACTGCAGGGCATCCAGAAATTCCTCTGTGCAGGACTGGAGTCAAAGAGAAGGTTATGAGTACTCTAGGATTAAAGAACTGGCTAAGATCTGTGGTTCCAGTGGAGAGTGATGGCATAGCCCCACAAAGCCTAAATGAGCACAGCTACATTTCAGAGTTTGCCAGGCTGAGACAGAACAGACCAGACTATGCTTGAGCTGAGGTTCTTTTCACTCTGTAAGGCGATATAAGATTTTTGTGTGTTCAAACATCAAACTACATAAAACTGGGAAAAAAGGGGGCAGAAAACAGTACAATACCAAGATTAATCATCTTTAAAAAAGCAATTTAAAATGACAAATTAAAATTACCTCCTTCCCAGTGGGAGGGGATTCATGAGAAATATCAAATAGAAAATAAAAAGTTAATACTTTGTTAACTCTACTAAGTTGTGTTAACCTCGTGAGGCTGCTACAGTTGTAAAAATATTTGCAATTTCAAAATAGTAACACCTTTACTTCTTTGTCTATGGAAATTAATTGGCAAAGGTTTTCATTTACTGTGATCTCACATTGTTCAGGTCAGATCTGCAGTCTTTCCATGAATTTGGAAGGAAAATATTTTTCATTTGTTTCTGACTACGTCTCTTTCTAATTCTTCCACTATGTCGTTCCTGGCCTCTACAACCACTTGGGGGTGTGGCATGAACTGAATATATTTTGATTAGTATTGTCACTAAAGAATCTCTTGTCATTGTTAGAAAGCCACAGATAAAGCCAAAACCAGAAATGTATTCTTAGATATCAAGCATAAAGGATGTGTTATGCTAGAATGGGTTCCAGTGACCTAGATTTCAGCCACTTAAAAAAGAATCTGTTACAGTCTGAATGTCTTGTGTTTCCCCAAAATCCATGTGTTGAAATCTGATCTTCAGTGTGATGATATTAAGAGGTGGGGACTTTGGGAGGCTCTGCCCTCATCAATGGGGTAATTGTCCTTATAAAAGCAGCCCAGATGATCTTGTTTGTCCTTCCACCGTGTGAGGACATAGTGTGAAGCTTCCATCTAAGAGCGGTGGACTCCTACCAGGCATCAAATTTGATGGCACCTTGATCTTGAACTTCCCAGCATTGAGTGAGAAACAAATATTTGTTTTTACAAGCCACCCAGTTTATGGAATTTTTTTAGAGCAGTCCAAATGCACTAAGACAGAGTCCAACAATAAAGAAAAGGTCACCAGGGTAAGGCATATTTAGGTACTAGAATCCTTTCTGCTGTGGTCATTCGTACCTGAAATGAGGAAAGTATGACTTAGTAGGCTAACAACAATCTCTAGGGTGAGATTTATGCTTGTTAAGAAACTAGAAGAACAGTATGGGATGAGAGAGAGAGAGAAAGACAGAGAGAGAGAGAGAGAGAGACAGAGAGAGACAGAGAGAGACAGAGAGAGACAGAGAGACAGAGAGAGAAGGAGGGAGAGCAAGAAATATGCAAAAGGTTGAAGAACAGAAAGACAAATGGTAGAGGTCAGCGAGTCAAATGGTGATAAAAATCAACAAGGAGTGCACCCAGAAGGTGATTATTCACACAAGAGCACTTTTCAGTGAACAAGTTGCTATATCGTGGGGACAGAAAAGGGCATGGGAGCAAGAAAGAAGGGAGTGAAGAGCAGAACTAGCAGAGGAAACAGAGTCAAAATTTAAAATATAAAAATCATTTTCTACAGTCCCATCCTCACAGGGTAGCCTAGACCTCTCATGGCCCACCCTGCCCACGGTTCTGGCCGAGTGCACTGACTGTGCTGTCCTGACAGCTTACTCCGCCGCCTGGTGAGCCAGTCAGATTGTCCCCATCGAATGTCGTAAGCTACGAGTCGCGGAGCTTATGACGACAATGTCAGAGCGCCAGGTGTGAAAGACGGAAGCGGAAGACAAAGAGATGTTGGGGAGGGAGGGTGTGCGGCCTGTTCCGGGACTCCATTCTGTCCGATAGCAGGCACACTTTGTTTCGTATGTTTGGATTCCGTAAGGTTTCTGATAATGGGGACTGATCCATGTTTTAAACAAACACTCGAGGTAATTTCTGCATATTTAAGTTCGAAACTAGTGCTTTTCGAGTAAGCCCAGGAGGGTTTCCTGCTCTTCTCAAGCAGAGGAGAGAACCAAGGGCTACAGGGGGCCTTCTGACAGGACCAGAGTCCCCTTTCACTTGTTCTCATTCAACACTCATGCATCGCGTCACTCATTACGTGCAGGACACCCTGCCCAGCCAAGCACCGGCCGCAGGCGGGTGGGTGGTGATCGGGAAAGTTCCCGGAATGAGCCAGGGTCTGGCACTTATTCGGAGTCGTTTATATTCCATCTACCACCTCCAGGTCAACGCATGGCCACCACTGGACCAAATTAATTTCTTCCCTGTTTCCAGAAATATCTTCAGTGATTAATTAAAACACCTTTAAGGGAGATGAGGGACTCATGGTAGGAATGAATTAATCACTTACGTAACTGGGAAGTATTTATAGAAATAGAGTTTCCATTTTCTGGAGAGGGAAATTTCAAGTACCTGGAAGGGAGAGCCATCATAATGTTTGTTTTGCAAGCCACTGGGCTGTATGAAAACATCAGTGTCCTGTTGAGTCCAGAGGAGGAAAGGAGACATGGGAATCCTAAGTAACAGACAATACCGACATAACATTCCATATGATTTTGGAGAGATGTGGTTAAAGCACCTCATGCAGCTAACTTAACAGCCAGATCCACCCCCCTGGACTCTTCAGACACCTCCTTCTGGAGTGGGTAGGTTAAGACTGGGGAGGAATGAGCTGGCTGCCTCACTCCCTCTCCCGTCCCAGCCCGAGATGGAATTCTCTGGAAGCATGAAGGAGGTGGGAGTTTACTGGAATCTTTTCTGCTGTTCTCAGCCCAGCACCAACTGTTGTAAAGAATGGAATAAAAATGCCATAAGGAAAGTAGCTGAGAGAAATTTACTCTTTTATCCTTGAGACCTAATGGGAACTCAAGCAATACACATTTTATTTTATTTTTCTTAATGGTCAAAGCCCTTGGCTGCATATTGTAAATACCTATTATGGATCAAAGCAATCTTTTCGAACGATATTTCTTTCAGCTTTGCTAGCTGCTAAAGCTCCACAAAATGTTCATTTTAAATGCCATCTTCTCTATGAACAAAAGATTGTTTGCTGCTCAGTAACACTTATAGGATTTCATTTTCCTCATTGTATATAAGGATGGATTATAGAAATTCAAGTATATAAAGTTTTATATTGCTCCTGTGTCTATGATTTTAAATCCTTGAACTATAAATTATCTATTTTTTTTATACAATTCATACTATTTTTTTTCCATCCAGGGATTGATTACACATTTCAATTTCCAATGATTATTTCTCTTGCTGTTTTCATTAGGCTTTCCTACAAATTGAAGGGGAGAAGGAATTAGTAAGGTAGAAAACAAGAGAGAATTAAAAAGCAAATCTCCTGTGTTTCTTTTCAATTAGTATAAAGTCAATGGATGCAGTAAAGGTTTTGAGACCAGGCATCAGAGGTTGAGCTGCACTAGAGTACACAAAGCTGCGGTAAGGAAAACTTTACAAACTTAAAATGATGCCTTCAGAAGACAGGGAGCATCCTGGGGAAATGCACAGAGGAGCCAGAGGGCTTGTGCCCAGCTCGGATGCCTTGAAAAAGTCACCTGACCTCCAAGTCTGTGGCCGCTCACCTCAAAAACTATTTGCCTTACACACCTTAGAAAACTGCTGTGAGGATCAAACTATGAATGCATTTTGAAAGCATTTGTCAAGCACTATGAAGTGATATTATTAGTGTGATTATGAGAGATGGTTTCACAAGAGAATTACACCACCTAACTGGTGAGCTAAAACATCCCCCTTCACAAATATTTTCTTGCTGTGCTTTTGAATATCACCAGCCTCTGCTACATTCCCCGATGATGCTGCATTTTCTATGTTTAGAGATGGCGTTTCCTGTTCTCAAACTGTGACCCACAATGCCTCTGACAGGCCCAATCACACCCTAGCGTGTGTTCTATCAAACTACCAATTGTCCCCGTCAGAGAATTTGCCTGTGAAAAACGGCTTCCCCTGGCAAAGTGGCAGCTTTCCACGGGGGAAATCTGCCTCTGCTTCCACCAACACAAGACAACATTTGAGAAGGGAACAAAAAACATTTTGCTATTTCACCAGCTCATGTAAAGGTCATTTTTCAACCTGTTTCTCTTGCAGTGGAAGGTGTTGATTATATAGCTCTAGTAATGTTGCCTTTTTGAATTCATTTTTGTTCTCAGGGGTTGTGTTATCTTTCCCCTATAGCAAGTTTCATCATATTTATTCCAGCAGAGCATGTAGATGATGTAGCTAGAATTGCAGGCAAAATAACTCATTACTACACCTATTGTCAGCTTTCTGTATATTTAACAGAAATGTGGTATAAAAATATTTATAGTTGACTAGGATTGGAATAAATGAAAAAGGCTTAGTTTCTGACTTTGGATTTGGGTGACTTCATATATTTTTTTCTCTGAAGTTCTCTTTAAAACATGTCAATTTTCCTTGCCACAAAGAGTGAGAAAGCAATTTCTTTTAGGGTATATTTCTTATTGCTTTAGTATTTTAAAAATATTGTTGCAGGGTTCATTTTTTACCAGTTTTACTAGTAAGGAGAGCAATGATATATGTTTTCTCAGGATCCTGTGCTGTCATTTTAGATTTTCATGATGAATATTTGTTATTAATATTTTAAATTAACATAAATGTGCCTGAATTTAACTTTAGAGATACGAAGCATTTTGCTGTTAATATAAAGGCATGCCAAAAAATGTAATCTATTATTTATAATTTAAATTTTCTAGTTGAAAAAAAGAGTGTGGATTCAGTCTCCATAGACAGAGGTTTCTATTCTGGGTTGTGCTAATAATGACTTCTGTGACCTTGGATGTATTAGTTGCTCCCTGTTTGTACCTTGATATCTTGTCTCTATGCTTCCTTGTCTTGTCTCTCTGGCATGGTGCCCTGGAGAGCTGACTTCTACAAGTCTCTCTGAGACAGGTACCAAAGAAATGGGCATTTGGGGGGACACAACATAGTAGACATCTCTAAAACTTGGTCATTAATTCCCTCCTAGTTTTAGATCAAAGGAAAGAATCGCCTGGGCTGAAACAGTAGGCTTATATTCACTGATGATGTCTTACTCGCTAAGAGGGTTGCTAGGTTGTTTGAAGGCACTCATTTCAGGATAAGAATAGTAACCTACTTGGATAATAACCTCTTTTATAAATATGAACCAGAAGTTCAAAGGTGTAAATGTGAACAGTATTAGCATCATTTTCCTCCCTGAAGAACATATTAAGAAAATCAAAGCTCTTCAACAGTGATCAAAAGTGACACATAGACCCAAACATATGATTTCATTTTATAATATGAAATCAAATTAAGATCTCCATTGAAAAGAGATTTGAAATAACTCCCTATCTTCACTGAGGGAGGTTTCAATTTCCGGAGTTACCATAATATTCCAAATCCATACATACCCTTGAACTGATGCCTTGTAGTCTAAGACTTCCCTCATAAATTAAGCCTCTTTGTTTAAGGACAGATCAAACAGGTTCTATGCAGTATATTAATAGTTTGTATTACAGAGAATAAATTTTCAATGATTCTATAACTTCACTCTGTTTAAGATGACAGCACTATTTATATTATGTTTTTATAGACATATTTAAGTTGTCTTTTGTAACTACAAGAAAAATAATTTTTAGTGGCTATTTTCTCTATATTTTGTTCTCATCAATAAATGTATAAAATACTTTAAGTAAATTTATAATAATGCTTCTATTGCATTTAAAAAATCCCTTCCAAGGAGAAAGCTTAAGAAAGAACTAACATAATTAGCATTTTTTGATGGATGGCTAGTGTCAGGACACAGAGATGAAAGTGCTTATTGTAGTTAAAGAAGGCACCTGAATCTGTTCTGCAAACAACAGCACAATATGATTGAAGAAAATAAATTAACCTTAGCTTTTTGTTTTATACAGCCAAAGCATCATTGTTCCTATTTTTATGACTTATATTGTCTTAAGCATATTTTCACTGAAAACTTTATATTTATTTCCTTTTAAAGTTTTGGTCAGATCTACAGCTAGTTACCCTGGAAACTCTGCTGAGTACTTCGTGAAGCACCTGCCACTTGAAGAGGAGGTGAGCCCAAATAAAAACTTCTCACTCTTCAAGTAAGTATACAACTTAGGCTACTCGCATCTTCAAATAATTAAGAAATACTTCCTGAGTGCCTAGTATGTGCCAGGAATACATATGCTTGTGGGAGGCAAAAACTTTTAGAGAAGGACTGGAGGTATATATTCTACAACATTTACTGAAGTAAACTCCTGAAAATAACACAGGAGGGGACTTTTAAATCTAGATATTTATATAATATCATAGGTACATGGGGATAGGTTCTTCTTTTCTAAGGCCTGAAGAAGGCAAGCTCTGAAATTTATATGCACTCTTTTTGCGAGTGAACACAAACAACATTAATAATAAAAATGATAAGAAAGCCAAGATTGAACCTAAAAATATACTTTTTGGGCAGGCTGTATATAGGCCATTCCTAAGAATTAAGAGAAAAATTTCCCTCCATTCTGGTTGCATTTAGTCCTTTATATAGGTATCCACATGTTTTACCTCTTTAAGTTTTAAAGTATCTACATTTGATTAAAATAGTCACTTTTGGATTGCCTTACAGATAATATTTTAAAGTTTGGTTTTGATTTTAAGAAATAGTTTTTAAGGAAACAAAGTCATTCAATCACTGTGCTAACCTTATCGCAAAAACCAGAGTCCAAGAACCATAAAATTTTGTTACTATTTGATGAGACAAATGGATTAAACACATGTCCATGTAAATTATGGCAAAAAATTAGACAAAAGACTTTCAACTATATAAATTCATATCTGAATATCCCTTAGGAAATCAATCAATTTTGATACTCTGTGCCAATGATAACTTAAATTTAAATGATCTGGATTTTGGATTAAAATTTTCTATTTATCGCCTGAGTAGTTCTTTGAAAATTTCTTCATTGTCTTAAGCAAGCACATTTAAATTTAGAATTAGCACATAAGATCAGAAGGGGAATGCAAACATCAATGCAAACATGCATTTCCCTGATGAGCACCATGTACCGTAATCTTACTACCTAGCAAATTTTCCTTTCAGTTAAGAAATTGGGAGGTAAAGATAATGAGTTCAAAGTTAGCCTAAATATCATCAATGCAAGTCATGTGTAGGTTAAAACATGGTTCCAAGCTTAATCTTTAAAGAATGCTTTGTTGGTGAGAATTTATACTATTGTAAACCAGTCCTCAACCACATGGAGCCCAGGACTTTTCAGTATAGATTACATTTTGCTTTCAATAATTTTAGCTATATTCTTTCCATTTCTAAGATCATGGAATTATTAAGATCTAGCATTTATCAAACCATGATATTGTACTCCCAATGTCTTCACTTTCATTTAGATTTTGAGCAGATTCCAATTCTCCTTTTCGTCAGAATCTAGTATATTCATTTATAAATTAGGAGGGTTATCCTGGTTCTCTCTTCCAGTATTCATCCAGGTCAGTGCTGTCCTCAGTCCCATTGAAAAATCAAGGTCCAATATAGGACCCACAGATTGGAGATGAAATTGGTGCTCATAGTGAATATTATTGCGCTTATTTGAGTGTAGAATTCATGACTAGGCAAGTTCTCCTCCACTTATGAGAGGTAAAGCTATCAACACAATAGAAAGTGATAACTCACTCTTTGACGGGCATGACTTAAAATATCCTTCCCTTTTTAAGCTAAATAGCGGCTTCATCGTAATAGTAGAGAAACAATTTCCCTAACAATTTTATTACCTTGTTATTTCCAACCTTGCCTCGTAATTCCTTTCTTGATAAAATGTGCTCTATTGTTATTTTCAACTCACATAAGAGTTTACTGCTTTCTGAATAGAGGATTAAATGACTCAACGCTGCTTCTTGCTGCATGGAAACTGCACGCTCCCCTCAGCTTTCTGTCAACTGCTGTGTTCTCGCCCCGACTCCTCTCTTCCGCTCGCTCACAATCGCTTTGGCTCCTCAGAGAATTTCAAATGAAAGAAAGGGCAAATGCACTCCTCAGTGTCTCCAAGACTCAATGTGGACCCCACAGATTCCTCTGTTCTTGCCCCAGTAGCTACCGTGATACAGAGTCCTACAACATAAGGTTGGACAAGGCAACTTTCTACCGATTTTAAAAGCAATAAAAGAGTTACATTTCCTAAAGGGATACACTTAGAAAACACATTACTGTATTAGCCATATTCTTTATTTTCTGTATTCTGATTCTTTGATATCTTAGTGTCTTGCTGACACTGAAGGGACGGCCCCTACCAGGGTTACAGGATTCCTAGAGATAGCAAACAACTCACCCAAAGGTGGGCTTTTAAAATGCAAACCAACCAATCCAGGGCTCACGCCCCCAACCACCTACTTTATCAGGCTCTTAAACTCTGGGGCACTATCTCTCCACCGGCCCTCATCGCTCCAGGGCCAGGCATCAGACAACCAGGAACAGCCTCCACGCCCCACAGCCTGCTGAAATTATGCAGACTAAACAATCCTAACGTTGACCTCGCTCACCAGGTTCACAACAAAGGCTCTTGCCCAATTTCCCTCTCTCTGCCCAGTGCTCCCTTGTGTGGCCTCCATTGCCACGGCATGCCCCTCCTCTTGGGAACTGTAACAAGCCCCACTTTCAATGGAAATAATCTCCTGATCTACTGGCCTCATCATACCTTAATAATAATAAAACTTATTAAAACAATTACCCATGTTCTCTAAGTAACTTTATTTTTATTTATAAGCACTTATTAAGTGCAATGTGAAATATATTTTCTTATTTTTTTCTGCCATTTTCATAATTTTTTTTTCATTTTTCAAAGTTTTATGTTTTACTGAGAAATATAATTATGTTTTACTGAGAAATATAATTATAAATAGGCTTAATGAATACTTTTACACAATAATCTTTGTATTTTGCAAAAGCTTTTTGTCATGAAAAATCACATTATGTAGGGATTAAAATCCAGAAATATATATATATTGGACTGCAGGAATTTATAGAATAAAATGAATCAATCTCTCTGCCTGTGGTGCAGAAAGGGTTAGAGAGAATTATTCCTTAAAACAGGAACTCAAGAGTTTATATGAGTCAAGAAACTAAAATATAGTTTAAAATTCTTTTTTTTTTTTTTTTTTTTGAGACAGAGTCTCACTTTGTTGCCCAGGCTAGAGTGAGTGCCGTGGCGTCAGACTAGCTCACAGCAACCTCAAACTCCTGGGCTCAAGAGATCCTCCTGCCTCAGCCTCCCGAGTAGCTGGGACTACAGGCATGTGCCACCATGCCTGGCTAATTTTTTTTTTTGTATATATATTTTTAGTTGGTCAATTAATTTCTTTCTATTTTTGGTAGAGACGGGGTCTTGCTCAGGTTGGTTTCGAACTCCTGACCCTGAGCGATCCGCCCGCCTCGGCCTCCCAAAGTGCTAGGATTACAGGCGTGAGCCACCGCCCCGCCCTAGTTTAAAATTCTTAACTGGTGAGTGGGTAAAGGAGTTATAGTATACGCATATGTTCATACCATAATAAGAAAGAATGAATCAAGAAACTAAAATATGGTTTAAAATTCTTAACTGGTGAGTGGGTAAAGGAGTGATAGTATATGCATATGTGCATACCATAATAAGAAAGAATGAACTCCTATACATGAAACAACATGGAAGAATCTAAGAAGCATTTCGCTAAGTGAAAGTAGCCAGATCTGTGTTTAAATTTCATTCTAGAAAAAAGCAAAACTATAGGGATAGAAATCAAATCAATGCTCCCCAGGAGTTGGAGTGGAGTGGACAGTTTTGCTCACTTGGATGTCCATTTTTTGGAATTATAAATAATTCAGAAATTATTCTTAGCAAAAGGAGAATTTGAAACACCATTCTAAGGTAGGAGTATAATTGAAAAAAAAAGTCAATTCCTGATTATAAGTAACCAGGGAAGTACATTTTTGTCAATTCTGCAGCAAGTCTGTTATCTAAAGCAATTTTGAACAGCTATAGGTGTAGCTATAGGTGTTTGAGAATTTTCTTTAAATAGCAATAAGGGTCTTGAAACAAAGTAGGGACAGTTTAAGGCAGATTAGCATAGGAACAGAACAGTATGGACATAGTACAAAATCACAGAGCCTGTACAAACAATTGCATAAAACAAAATAAAACCCTAACTATTTCAGATCAAGGTTTCACTATTTCCAAAGTGAAGAAGTAGAAATATTCATATTAGAATATCGTTGCAACATATTTATAGTTGATCATTTATAATTATACTTAATGTAGTTACATATTAAATTGCCTTACAGTGGTCAATGTATAGTGACATTCTCAGATAAATTTTTCCTATTAACTCTTCAAAGTATAGCGTTAGGGAATAATATGGATAAATGAGTCTCAAATTTTGATTTCCTCAATAATCTAGTAGGTAGAAAAGAATACTTTCTTAATGAGGCACGGTTTTATCTGGGAGAATTCTATGTCACACTTTGACCTCCCCAGGAGAGACAGCTCAGCATCTTAGCCTGCTTAGCACGGTTGAAGGAAATATAAATGAATCCATTTGAATAGATTTTGACACTTGGCTGCTGAAATAATGTTGCTAAAGCATTCCTTTTTCTTCCGATGGTTTTGTTTTCCACCTCTTTGCTGAATGAAGCACTTGCTGCCAATTGTCTTAATACAGGAGTAATAGAATGAAGGCAACCATAGCAGCCTCGAAAATCACCAAGTGCGCCAGCAGAATGGGTTCAGAGCGGAAGTATGAGAGCAAATAGAAAGTCAATGGGGACTTTCAATGCCAACAGGACTGATTCAGATCCTGCTTGTTTCAAATACAATCCCTTTACAGAGTAATGGAGCATGAGCCAGTCGCACGTAACTTTAGAGACAGTCCTTTATTTCAAACACCGTAAGGTTGGAAGAGATCATTCATCCGCAAAGCCAAATGTCGAAAGCTGTGCTTTTGAATCCCCATCAGGCCTGTGGTTAACATTGCACTTGACTAACATTGCACTTGACAGTTCTGCCACGCAGAACAGGGTGCGTGAGAAGAGGAGAACTGAAGCTCCTGCAATTTGAAAAGTTGCCAGTCCATATGCCAGTTTAGCGTGTGTGCACGCTGCCCTGGGACCTGATTGCTACTTTTTTTTTTTTTAATAGAAAGCTCTTGTGTCCTTTAAGTTCAGTTACTATCTTAAAATTTTAAAGAAGACATCAATGGGTCTCATGAATAATAAATGTGGCTTCGATTTACCTTGTGCTTACCTTGTGTCAGGCGCTGTGATAATTTCTTTATATGTGCATCATCTCATTTAATTCCAGAGACAACCACATGGCCTGGGAAATTTTAATCTCAAGTTTGTAGATGAGATGCTCAAAGGAGTTAAACATCTTGCACAAGGGAATTTTAATCCAGACTGGTTTGCCTGCAGATTTCATATTCTAGTTTAAATCACTTCATTACATGACCTTAATGTCAGAAATGTATAATGCAATAGTGCCAAATTTAGTCAGATATAAAGGCTTTTTCATTCTAGTGATTTTTCCTAGGTAATGGGTTTCCCATATTATATTTATTACATAAAATAACACATAATAATAAATATACAAAATACGTTCCTGTGGCATGATTTAAATGCACATATATTATTTGTATCAAAACTTTCTTGATTTATCTATTCTTGGAGTCATTCTCCAAGCATAATTCAACTTACCTAAATTCTTTATACATTGACAAATACAGTCATCACATTTTGGAGAATGTCACTGCATGAATTAAATATTTATCATATAAAAATACTGCAAAATCAAGGTGAATTGCTCTGCAAAATCTCCTTCTAAGCTCTTTTTACTCAACTACTGTGGTGTATTGGTATTTATAAACATCTATTTTATTTACTATTTAATCTTCTGACCAGATGTAGTGCTAAAAATATTTATTTTTAAGGATTACTCATTTACAAGCAACATTAATGAACCGTAATTTCTGTCCTAAATTTATTCGCCTTATTCCCTGTCAACCATTTTGAGCTTGGTGGGTGAGCCAATAAAAAGGGTGAAATTATCACAAGATTTTTACTAAATATCAGGTTTTCCCATGAATAGAAACAATCCAGTGGCACAGACAAAGCAGGGGGTCTGAGATGTTCAAGGCAGCTCCCTGAGACCTTGCTTCTTTCTGGCTTTGCACTTCTTTCTGGTGTGCACTATCTGACTTAGGTTACGTAAGGCCCCTAAGTGACCTATGTGACTAATACACCCAACAAGAAGTGTTTGAATTAGGAAATATTTTTATTTCATACACAAAATGTTTAGTTTAAGAGGCATTCTCCAGGGATCTCTGCCCCTCTAAGTCCATAAATTGTAGGTTTGTTTACCATAGGTAATCCTAAGCTAGGAGCATCCTGCTAAGAGCATGCCATAGATGGGGAATCTCTTCCTAGTAAATATCATCGGTCTGTTTACCGGAAGGTCACTCACTAGTATGTTTACAAGGAGATTAGACCGGATCACCTTCTGTCCCTTTGGAAGTCTTTTTAGTGGTACTTAAGAGAGAAATGAATCACAGACCAGGTGCTTAAATCTCTCCACCATAAGAGGATACCTTATTGAGTCCATAACTTATTTTTATCGCTTTGTTATGAGTACTGATGAGGTTAGGGCTAAGATTGGGGTTTTAATTCCTGTGTGATCCAGGCATCACCATGTGTCATAGTGATATACCGTGACACCAATGCAGACCTACTACCTTGGGAGTGAGTGTTACTGATTCCATTTGAAAAGGAGGAGGTGGAAAAACATATAAGATAGTTACACAAATCCAGCACCCCTATGGGTGAGATAATTAAGCAGATACAACAGTGAGCAGGTACAGATGCAAGTTTTGTGAGGCTCAAGGCTTATATAATTTTGGAGACCCTTTTACTGTCATAAGAAGAATAGAAAATAAGTATTATATGACAAAAATATATGAACACATATGTGAACAGAGTGCAAGGGCCCCTCTTAGTAGTCTACATGAATAGTCCATAGAATCCCCACAGAACTGAAAGTCAGGAAAATTTTTTCTTCTACTACTTTTGACTTGAAGTGATATTGTCTCTTTTCCTGCTTGACTTAACATTAACCTTACAAAATGGAATAAAATCAATTTATCTGACATTTTTGATGTATGATTAAAACATATCAAGTGATGGATGAGAAAGTAAACATGTGATGCCTCGAGGAGTATTTGGAAAAACAAATGTCAGATGAAAATAGATTGTTCAGAATTTCAAAGAGCAAATATAGTTTCATACTAAAGAATAGGGTAATGATATTTTCCATATCTAATAATTGTAGTCTAAGTTAATACTATTTCTCAAAAGAAATGATTCAGAGGACATACCAGCTCACTGGTTCATTTTTTATGAATGTGAAAACTAAAATTTAGTAAAAATTTCTACAGACAACTTTATATTTAACAACTGTATGGAAATTGTGATGGTTCTTTTAATCATAAGTTTAAAAACAGTGATTTTATTTGAGTTTCTGTTACCTGGTTGATCACTAAAAGATTCCACTATCATCAGATTTTTATTTCTATATGTAATGAGTCCCATATGTACTAACTGCCTACTAATTCTACTCATAAGTTAAAATATTTATTTGAAAGTAGGCCTGAAGGAAAGTGTATCATGAACTCGGGGTCTCTGTCCACTCATTTTCTTTGTTCCACTTAAATGGAAATGATGCCAATTTGAAGTGTCTTATAAAACCTGTGTTCTAGGTGCCATATATGGAAAAT